AAGGCCACAATAAGCTCTTCCTAGAGATCCTCTTCTTAAGGCTGAACATCCCCAAATCTCTCAACCTGTCTTCATACAAGAGGTACTCCAGCCCTGTTGATCAATTTCATGGTCTCCTCTGGAACTGCTTCAATAAGTATGTATCTTTCCTGTGCTGGGGACCCCAGAACTGGACACAGCATTGCAGGTGGGGTCTCACCAGAGCAGGGTAGAGTGAGTAGAGTAGAAAGGCAGAATCCCCTTCCTTGCCCTGCTGGCCACAATTGATGTAGTCTGCAATGCAGTTGGTCTTCAGGGCTGTGAATGTACACTGCCTGCTCATGTCATCCATCCATCCATCCATCCATCCATCCATCCATCCATCCATTCATCCATTCATCCATTCATCCATCCCAAAGTCCTTCTCAGTAGAGTTGCTCTCAGTTCCTTTATCTCCCAACCTTTACTGATACCAGGAATTGCCCCAACCCGTGTGAGTTGTCTTGCACCTTGCAAGTGGCCTTGTTAAACCTTATGATTTTCACATGGACCCACTTCTCAAGCTTTTCCAGGTCCCCCTGGTGTGTAAAGTGCACCACTCAGCTTGGTGTCTCTGCAAATTTGCTGAGATAGAGAACAACTTGAAGTGGGGAATCAAAAGGTAGGGGCTACTTGGAGAAGCTGATACTAGTGAGTACATGGAGCTATAAGAGATTAATTCAAGGGTGTTGAAATGGCACATTATTAGGAGGAGGTTTACTATCATCTGCAGACAGTAGATGACAGCTCTAGAAATTATCTGCCAAATGGAAAAAGTTTAAAGTTCTGTGAATCTTCATGAGCAGTAAGAACCACCTTCCGAACAATAGGCTGATCAGCCTCACCTCAGTCCATGGAAAGGTCTTAGAGCACATTTCCTTGCAATCCATTTCCAGTTTATTCAGAGACAAGAAGATAACATGGAACAGGCAGCCTGCAAACCCTGCTTAATCAACATGATTGTGAGTATTTTACCAGGTGATGGTAGATAAAGGGTGAAGGGCTAAACTGGAGGTCTTTAATCCAGAGCAGATTTGAAAAGCTTGAGGACTGAGCTAAGAGAAGCCTCACATAGTTCAACAAAAAGAAGTGCAAAGGTCTGCTCCTGGAGAAAAATCCCTTAATAATAATAATAGGTGGGAAATAGCTGAATGTGTAGCAGCCTGCTGTAAAGGACCTACAGTGTATGTGTCAGTGTAAGTCATTCTACATACATGTTACAGTCATATTGCAGACATCCTAAGATTAAAATGAGTCTTTCATCTCTCTTTGTAAAGCATAGAAGATAACTGGTCACAGCTTTGGTAATCTCAATGTGAAAGACTCTTACCTAATATCTTGCATTTTTTTACTTCCTGTGAACTTTTAATTTCATTGTATTGGTCAATAATATTTTAATTAACTTAAAAAATTTCAATTCTTACCAAATTAGTCATCACCTCGAACTTTGCATTTAATATCCCCATTAAAAAGTGGGAAAAATATTTTCATTTACATATTGAACATTTCTCTAAGCTTGCAAACTAAAAGTTTTGTGATTCCAAGGCTAATATAGACATGCTATTTATTAAAAGTCCCCATCTTCTGAAAGGAGTTTTGGACTAGACTAAATCCCAAACTTTGGCAAGTGCTTGGGGGAGTATTATTAGTTGAGGCTGCCAGGTATGGTTATAACAACTAAATGGTATAAGCAATTGAGTTGCCATTCTGTTCCTTTTACCATGCTGCTTAATTTACTAATATGGAGGTAGCAAAAGGGCTTGAAGTAAATCCCAACAGGTAAAATGGCAAAAGAAAATGTTTAAAAAGCATTTAAAAAGAAAAATCTGTACTCCAGTGCAACATCTGAAGTATAAAAGACTTTACATTTATATGCAGAATATAGTTTTTTTATTTGTGTTTTATGAACAATAAAAGTGTTCTGGCACGATGCGACAGTTTCAGGTCATGGCATCATGTGCCCCAGACAAATTACACCTAATGGCCTTAAAGAAAGGAGCCAGAAAGCTCTGTGAACATCATATAGTTTAAAGAATTATGTATTAGGAATTAATCTTTGGATATGGAAGAAACCCTTTGGAAGACATGTGCTCATGTATTTCCAATATTTAGATATGATAAAAAGAGCGAAATGAAGCATCACTTCTAAACAGTATTCAATGCTAATTCAGGACCAGCAACAGTGAATTTGCGTGTAACTGACCAACACTGAGTGACTGACTATATACTCACACTTCAACCCTTGCAATGTGTTCAAATCAATCTTAAAAGACAGCAGATTCAGAAAAAAAATAAACCTTTTGATGCAAAACATGAAAATCACACTCTATCCAGCTAGTCAGAGGGAAGCTATGGACATTACTTGTCCATAACAATTAATGTGAGCTTGTAATTTCCATTGTGGCATATAGAGAAGTATTTCAGACCTACATAAAAGAGCATGAGATAGTACAGTTGCTAGAAGATGAAGTCAGGACACTTCCCTGAGGATGAAAATTAAATGCTGGAGTTCATAAGAAGAGGTGGGGGAATGTTAAGCTCTTGCAGAGATATTGAATTTCATTTTAACAGCCAGCCATTGATCCATCTCCTGGGAGCAATCCTGTAGTCAGTGTTCAGAGCAAGCCTGCACAGATCACCATATGGTCCCATGGCACAACCTGAGTTTCTCTGTGCTGAGCTACCCTGGTATAATGCCATGGCACAACAGACTGGGTCAGAGTTCTCAGTGCATGTCCTATCATGCCCTATGCCCAGATCTTGGCTGTGAGCCCACTCTGGGCTGGTGTCTCTGCAGCTGCCAGGGCAAGCTGTCCCGCCTTGAGGCTCTGTGCACTGCTAGTGTCAGCCCTGCAGGGGGGATAATTCCAGCCTGTTTCAAACTCTTCATCTGGAACCACTGTAGGCTTGTTTTGAATTTTGTCTTATCACTGTCATTCACATTAGTCTTTGGACAAAAAGACCTCTCAGACTGAGAACCTTACCTGTACCTCCCACTACATGGTCAAAAGATACCTGCTCAAGTTGTATGTTAAAAACAAGTGACCCCTTCTATCCCATACTGACAGAATGCTTTTGCAGAGTCTTCATGACTGACTGGAAAGCAGCTGAAAATACTCCTCCTGTGGCTGTAAAAGAGAATTAAACCCAACACTTCAAACATTATTGAGAAGATTAGACAACAATAAAAAGAATAATTAGCAATAACTTAAAGAGCTTGTTGTTATGAAATGTAATTCCCAAATCCTGTTCTCTTTCCTCTTTTCTGAAGTAATAAATATTTTCTGGCTGTTCATGCCTAAGCTTCCTACCAGCTCCCAGCGCACTGTGGCTGTGCTGGGACATTATTGACACCATTAACAATCTGTTAGTAGAGGTTCCTGGCAAATGGTTTTGGCAAACCTGGGGTTGATAACATGGTTTGACTGATATTGCATGCACTGAAGGCCAGCCAAAACACATAGTTCAGTCCTTATCTCCACAAACCCAGGAGATGGACACATTTGAGCTATACTGGATGGATCTACAGCATACACTGATTCCTGAGCTGGGGCCGGGTTACTGCCCAGTCATACCAGGGCCAGTGCTGAGAAAAGAATGTGAGGAAGATACTGCTTAGGTCTGTCCTCTAGCCCATTTAAAGAAATAAATGTGTGTATAGGTGTAGGTGGGTATCTCAGAAGCACTACACTAAGAGCATCAACAAAGCTCTACTAATTTACAGTGCTATGAAAATAACCAGTGTGACTTTGGTCTTGAATTTTCTGGTTTCAAGAAAGGACCAAAACAAAATGCTATTCTGGATAGCAGCCCTATTATGTGGTGTGAGCATAATGTTAATGCTACCCAGCTGTTCCTTTTGCCTTCATCTTCCATTCTTTAAGTGCTTATACAGTAATATAACACCACAAAATACATGAAAAATAGCTCAAGAGCCTGACTGGTAAGAGTATGCCAGTACACCAGTTGTCAATAGCAGATGAAGCCCAGAAACAAGAAAAAGAAACAGAAGGCTAAGCAGAGATTTCAAGAGAATAAAGACCATGCTGCCTTATCAAAACCAAGAAGTGAATTATTGTGGTTTAGGTGCCTTATAAAGAAAATAATTTCTGGGATACTGAAAATGTGGGATATCCAAACAATTGCATGCCTAAGCAAGTAGAAAAAAGGTAAAGGATTCAGCTGTAACAATGTGTAAGCAAACTGAACAAAGAAATGTGAGCTCATTTCCTATAGCTCAGAAATCACAAATTAAGAGCAGAACATATTAACATGTCTCTGCAGTTATTTCTACCATCCCTAAAGACTAATCAGCCTATGAATACTTCACATGCTTATCCCAGACAAAGATATACTTCATCAGCTATGATAAATACGAAAAGAAACTTGAGATGGTGTGGTGGTTTAACGCTAGCTGAAAATTAGACTCCAAAAAGCCACTCCCCTTCCCCCTTCCCCTCCTGATTAGAGATGGACAAAGGCAGAGACTATGGGTTGAGGTAACAATTTACTGAAAGCAAACAGCCTTGGAATAAGGAACACACAGTAACAGCAGCAATATAAATAACAAAAGTATAGGAAAAGAGAAGGTGCTTCACACACAAAAGCTGTTCACCACCTTGACTTAGGTCTGTGTGGCTGCCAGGACAAAGTCAGGGTGGTGGACACTCCCTGTAGGTTGAGTCGGCATGGCCCCGGGACAAAGACAAGATGGCGCCCGTTCCCATGCAGCACCACATGGTTTCCCCAGACAAAGACAAGATGGTGGGTGTTCTCCACAGGTGGTTTTCCCATCCCTGAGCCCAAGACAATGAAAAACAATAATTGACAAACCCCCAGAACCTGGACCAGCTGTGCTGTCCACCTGTTGTTTTGCAGCAGGTGTGCTCTGCTGGTTCAATCCCACATGGTGCCATTGCTTTGCACTGTTCTGCCCCTCTCCACATGGCTCTGTCCTTTCAGCTGGGCTGGGATCAGGCTCACCTCTGCTGCTCTGCCGCCCATGGATACTTCCTGCGCCAGAACCACTTTTCAACAAAACTCCAAGGAGCTGTGTCTTGGAAGAATGGGAAGGGTATGGACAGTGACAGAGGACAATGTCTGGAGGGCTGATCCTGACAACCTCCCTGATGGCGAGAGGGAGGCAAAACATCACACTTCTAGTGGTTGTTCTTCCCCCTAAAACCACAGCCCCAGTGATGATGTGGCATTGAACAGCACCCTGGCCATGCCATGTGGTGCTAAGCCATGCCCTCTCTCAGCATTCAGAGCAGGTGGGTATCTATGCTGGGGTTCAATCTAAGATGAAGATAGTTAAATTAATAGGTGTCTGTAGGTACATCAAGTGTCTCATTCTTTGTTAGGGTCCATGGAGGTGGAGTTGTAGAGAAAGCAGCTCATTCTTCAGCAGTAGCCCTGCAAAGAAAACTTCAACACATACAACACACCTAAATACCTAAATGGGAGTCTTGAATAGAATTCTGCCTCTACCTGTTACAGAAACTGTATGTAATAAGAAGCATGTATTGTAACATACATTTTGCCCTTAGCTGACATGGGTAGATGAATTATAAAATTACATTACTGCATCTGAAAGATCCAACACTGAGATGCAGTTGCATAAATAGTCTTATTTGGGATATAGCCCATGTTTTCTTTTAGGTGCTAGTGGCTTCAAAAACTTTTAGATAAAATAGAGTTGATATAGTGGAACAAAGAAGGATAACTCACATTTGAGATATCTCAGGAGTTTATAGACTTACCTTCTGCAGGTCAACTGAGGTTTGACCAGGTTTCTCATTCCCTTATTTCATCCAGGTCTTGAAAACCTCCAGGGATGAAGCCTGCTTGATCTTTTCGACAATCTGTTCCAAATGAAATAGAACTCCAAGCAGAACTCGAACACTTTGTGTACACTTTTGAGAATGTTATTTAGAGCTTAATTTTTGGAAACACGTAGGCATTGCATGCAGTCCTGAAGAGGCTGAGAATGAGGAAGAAAAGGATTTAATTAGACATCCACAGAAACTGGCAAATTATGAGAAGTTTTGCAGTAAGTATCATTAATAAGATTATTCTGGATACTGTGTTCCTGTTTCAGGACAAGAGATGAAAACAATCTCACAACAGATCACGATATGAACAGTGATCAGTACATGACACCAGACTCCACCTTTGCCCTGTAGCTAGGACTGTGTCATGTCCATCCAGCTGCTCTCAAGAAATTAGGTTGCAGATACAGAAAAGTACAGAAAAGTGAGAAAGAGGAACCTAAGCCCAGAAAGAGGAAACTAAACCCAAAAAATCTTACCAGCAATATTTAAACCAGACCTAATCTTGGACCCTCTAGAACCGACTAACACAATTCATTTAGCAAAGGCACTGTATCACAGCTGGGGAACATATAGGTTTGCAGTGACATCCTCTTTAACCACCTGCAGGTGCATTAGATCTTTTCTATTCACAGTAGGTTTCATTAGAGATGTTTGAGATGTGTTTTCAACAAGGACAGTGACACTTTACCACTACCAAAAGGCTTTCTGTGAGACAAACAGGTAGTTCTTATCTCACAATATACCTGTCATATTTAAATTTGCTAATTTACAAGGTCAGAGAAGTACATGGAAAAAAGCTCCCAGAAACAAGAGATTTTATGTACATGTATCAAAATAGGTTAGCCAGTTAATGAATTTTGGAGATGTGTTCATGACCAAATAACCAGGAACTTTAGAAGTAATTTAGTCCGTTTGAGAAACAAATTTAGTTTGGCACTTTACACAATTGTGTAATGGAATGTTTAATTAAATATTGAGCAACTTGTCCAACCTTTGTACTTCCTGGCTCTTATTTAGCTAGGTTTGTTATATAACCTTCCCTTTATGAGAGCAAATTACATTCTGTCTATGAACTATGGAAACATTTCCCACATCAGCTGTGAAGACAGAAGCAAGGTCACCATCCCTTATCCTTTCCAAATGGCCAAATGTCAAAGGAGCATGGAAAACATGAAAACATCCAGGTCACAATCCTTTCTCCTCTGCTACAACTCCTTAAAAAATAAAGGAATATTTTATTTGAAAAATTGGGGAAAATTTTGCACAGAGCATGAAAATTGTCAGCATTCAGAAGAAATACATTTCTTCTTAGTCCCTTAAAATCACACTCAAGACTCAATTCATTAAATCTGATCTTATGACTTACAAAGTAAGCTACAAATATTCAGATAAATGTGGAATCAACAGCTATTAGTTCTTAGGATAGTAATTATTGTTCATACTAGAATTCCCCAAAGGAAGAATATTGGTGCTGTTTACCATTTGGGACCAGTAGATTTTAAGTTAATTTTCATATGAAATGATGCAGTACTTTGCTTCAGGCAATACTGATTCAGTACACTAGAGTTTCTTTAAAGCTGTCAATCTTCAGAGCACAGAAAACACACCTCTAATTGAGATACAAGCAAGCATTGTTTTTGGACATTACTTCTTCATTTCATAGCTTGTTAGCCAAAGTAAATGAGGAAGAGCCAAGAGAGAAACGGGGGATAAGAGCTAGGGATAAGAATAATAATATGATAAATAGCATCTTTTAAAATTAAGTTTGCTATTATTATATGAAAACAGCAGCTGGCAAATACAGTCAGTCCACAGAAAAAATTAATATGGAATTATTATTCTCAACTACCAGCTGGAGCAGAGAAGTGTTGCAGCTCGTTTCCTGTCACTTTAAGTTTTCTGGCATTATACAGGTTTGTGTACAACTCCAGCAGTGAGTGCCTCCTTAGAGATGCTGTACCTACTTTTGTTGCTTTCAGGTTGCATTTTAGTGCACCCACACCTGGCCTCAGGACCCAAGACAGATGACTGGGAAGAAGAAGGGTTGGGTAAAACAACCTGACTCATATGAGAGATTAAAATACAAACAAATAAGGAATTGCTCACCATGTCTTCCAACAAAATAATAAGGGCAATCAAATAAACCTACAGAGTACCCCAGAAAAGACGGTAGTTCTTCTTGGTGCAGATATAAGCTGTGTTCATTAAATACATATCTTCATCAAGAGATTTTTGACCTTCAGGGTGCTGAACATTCAAAGGGTATCCTGATGTCCTGGTAATCTGGGCATCTCCCAATGGCCATTAGTGATGATATGATGCAAAATCAGATGGACTGGTGTAGTCATCTTTTCTATTCTCCCTCTCTGTATTTCCCTCATGTTAAAAACTGCCAACAGCCTTCATATTCCCTCTTTGATGCTCAGATCAGTGATCCCTAATAAGAAGCAGAAGAGCAAAGTCACCTCCTGATTCTAATTTTTCACTGTAGCTGCCAAGAGGAGACAAAATGTGGCCCAGTATTTTTTCCCTTAAGAATAAGCAAAAGAAAATGAACACTGTCCAGATACATTCTCCTGAAAGCAGAGAGCTTCAGGGCTTGAATGAATACCGAAGAACACTGAAATGTTCACTGAATACAGCTATTCTTTCCAGAGGAAAAGATCTTGTATGGGAATGAAAACAAAGAGGTCATGAAAACCCTACTGCATGCAACTAATTGAAAAACATTGAATTTCAAGAAGGCTTAGCTATTTAAACATCTGCATAGCACCCTCAAATAGCTTTGAATGAAATCTTCAAATGTTTTGCTGAATATTTCCAGTAAAGATTTCAGAGTCATATCATGGAAAAGCTAAACCTTGGCAGACACTTTATCAAACAACAGTTGAAATGCATTTCATAAACTCAATCAAATCTAACAAATGCAGAAAATCCCAGATGGAAAAATATACATTTATGCAAATTTTCCAAAATAAGATGATTTTACAGAAAATGTAAAGATATAATTATGGTTTTAAGAGTACAGTACCCCACAGAGGAAATGTTTATACCTGGTAATTATGTTCCAGTAAATTGGATCATTTTCAGCATATGGATAGTTACATGTGAGATCCTATTGCATTAATTTAAAGGTCGTGGCTTCACCAGAGAAGTGATTTCTCAGCATGTGTCCTCTGCCCTTGACTTTATTATGGTTTGCTCATTCCTAATATCTCTGTTTATCAGTTTTGTATCCTTGCTGGCTACATCATGCATTTTTCAGCAAACATTACTAGTGAAAGGATAATTCTTCAGAAATGAAAATCTGAAAGTTTGGAAGATTTATTGACTAAGGAAAAAAATAAATTAAAGGGCATCTGGCTCTTACTATTTAAATGTGTCTGCACATATTTAGTGGTAAGTTGAATCTGGCTAGAATATTTCATTTGGCCTTGACTAATTTTTCATAATTCTTTCCTTCATAGAAACACACAAGACCTGTGTTTATATAAATAGATCTAATCTTCTGATCCAACAAGTGAAATGGCAATTTTGTGAAAGAAAAAAGTGACTATTTACTCAAAACATAAAAGCATCTTAATTTGTTGTGTACCTGCATTTTTAAGGATATTGATATTTAAAGTGCATAATGTAACTTGCAAAAATCCCAACCTCTGCAGCATGTAAGTCATAAACCAACAAAAACTTATATTTGCACCTGTCTTGGAGAATAAAAAACAAGTGAGGGAAGACAACAAAGCTATATAGTCACATTTTTAATAACAAGCCTTTTTACTCCCTGGATAGTGGTGAGCTTAAAACTTTAAGGCAAGGCCTTCACTTGTTACTTTTTTGTGAATAAACCAACACAGCTAGTTAAATCTATGCAACTCCTTTTGTAGCTGTAAATTTTGGAATAAAAAGTGTACCAGAGCAGTACTTCCCACTTCTGTTATAAATTGCTGTGAAGAGGTCTTATTGTTATAAAGTGATATGAATTTTAATGGCTAAAATTAGGGGGAAAAGCAATTTATGTGGTTGTATGGTGTTCTGCGCAATTTTGTGACACAAACTTAAACATTGTGACAAAACTTAAAACCATGGATTTCACCTGGGTACTTTCGTTCTGCAAATGGTGCAGGGCAACAGAAAGGAAAAGCACGTAGACAGAAACAGTTCTTAAAATTAAACAGCTCCTTAAATCCCTGTTTAACTTGGGAATTACATTTTGACTCTATGTGTGCATTCAGAATGCATGATATGATAGAAGATAGGTAAGAAGATAAGAAGAATGATAATAAAATAGGTAGTCTAGCCTGAACTGTTATACAAAATGCACTAAGCAGAAGATGGTAACCTTCCTATTTCTGCCTCTGTCTGAGTTTAGTGTTAGGAGTAATGTATTACATTTTATTAAGATGTCAGAAAACTGCAGACATGCCCCTAGGCTTGCCAAAAAACGGTGCAATTTGGATTAACTCACCAGAGAGCTTAAGTGAAGAGAACTGGAGATGCTCTGTGGTGTTTTTTAAAGCTCAGAAAAAGTTGCAAAATCACGTCTCTGTTAGACAGGAAAAAATAATGAAAGATGGACAATCAGTTATTTGTATAAGGAACAGACAGGTAGGTAAAAAGTGTGTATGGAGAAGGGAGCAGGAAGACTACCATAAAAGTGAGAGATCTACTCTAAGTTTATGATCTACTGACTAGGTTGATAAATTTTCATACAAAGAATGAGAAAATGTTGATGGTCAGAAGACGTTCACATATCTACTACATCGGGCAGGTAAAAATGCACCATTTCTTTGTACTGGCACTACAGAGCAAAAGTAAATAAACTTAATAGAAATGGAAAACATAATCTCTTTGTAGGAGTCAATTTGATCAGTTTGATCTCTAAGGTCCCTTCTAACCCAAACCAGTCTGTGATTTTATGATTCTTTGAGACTACTATTAACTGGGAAGAAATAGATTACCTGCTGAGTAAAGTGTGAGAAGGTTTTTTGGGACCTGATGTTCTGTGTGACCTTGAATGAGGTATCCAGAGTCAGATGTACTTCTTATGCTTCATTCACAGTTCTCATTAGCATGGGTCTTTCCCTTCAGTAAGGTAATGAGAATTGGTTTCCCCCTTTTCAGGAATGAATTTCTTTGGTTGAAATAATTTTTTATTTTCTATTAGTTCCATTATCTTAACTGAATTTTGTGAAAAGTAAACTTAGATGCTGCTAGAGTGGGCAAAATTTGGCTCTCTGCATTGCAGAATTTCATGTACAAAAATGATGGCAGAAATGGCAGTCTGACTCAGGGAGATACAGCAAGACTAATTCATTGCAGCCTTTAAAATGCAGTTTAGAAATGAGAAAAACCTGTGAGATCTGGTTTCAGGCAGATACAGTAATAGTCTTTCTGCCTCCTAGATGGAGCTAAAGCACTTGTCTCCTGTTTCTTGGCTTGTGAGATGGAAGAGAGTAAATAACATGACAAACATAATTGTCTTCTCTTGCATTTCTTGATTAGTAATACCTGCAATATTTT